AAACGAGATCGAGAAGCCAGAGTTACTACAATCAGTCAGCGTAATTACGTGGAACGAGTCCTAAGCAAATTCGGAATGGAATCATGTAAACCGGTTTCAACACCACTGGAACCTGGGACAAAGTTTTCAGAGTTGTCAAATGAGGATGAAAAATTTGACACACAAACATACCAGCAAGCGATTGGATGCCTAACCTATCTTTCAGTGATTTCAAGACCAGATATCTCAGCTGCAGTGGGAGCACTTTCACAATTTATGGCAAAACCTAGCAAAGATCATTGGATCGGGGTGAAACGTGTATTACGATATCTTAAAGGAACTTTAGATTATGGCCTGAAATACTCAGCAGATGAAAACCCTACACTAGTCGGTTATTCAGACTCTGACTGGGCAGGAGATATTAATACTCGTCGATCAACATCAGGTTATGTATTTCAAGTTGCTAATAGCACAGTTAGTTGGTCGAGCAAAAGGCAGAGGACAGTCGCGAAGAGTTCAACAGAAGCAGAATATATTGCGTTAAGTTTAGCCACGCAAGAAGCGATATGGTTACAAAGACCGTTATATGACGTTGGATTTAAAATCAGAAAACCGATAACAATCTTCGAAGACAACCAAGGAACAATAGAATTGGCGAAGAATGCCAAATATCATAATAGAACGAAACATATTGACATTTGCCATCATTTCGTTCGAGAACGCGTTCAGTCGAAGGAGATCAATGTAGTATATTGTCGAACAGATGATATGAAAGCAGACATACTAACAAAAGGATTAGCAAGATCAAGTTATGAAAAGTTAAGGGACTTGATTGGGATTACATTGAACATTGTAATTTAATTGTTGAAGTTAAATTTATAAGTGAATGCACATTTTATCGTGAACTCATTAAGTGGGAGTGTTAAGAATAATAAGTTCCCGCCAAATTATATAACGCTAAATATGATTGGTTAAAGATTAATGAGATTCTCTTCTCTGATGTGTACATTCGGTCGGACATGTTTTAGAAAATCAATTCATATTATTAAGTCTATTAAAGTTATGTTTATCTTCAAATAAATAGTTATACAATCGAAAGTGAGCGAATATTTCAATACTCACGATCCAAATCAGGTCTCCAAAATAATTGTTTAGACCAACTTGATGAATGGTGCAGAAAATGGTTAATGGAAGTAAGGGACCGTAGATAAAGTATGTGTACAGGGGGGTGGAGGGAGTAGAGATTGGGGGGCTCTGCCGTGGAGGGCCACAACCTTTGGGGGATGAGACAAATTACGACATTTGGAGTACAAAACAAAAAATGAGTGGAATGTTATGTCAATGATAGTAAAACTACAGACTTTTATAATACAATATAGTATAAAAGACCAAGTGTATGTTCCTAAATGTTCCTAGCCGTAAATTGCAATGACTAGCACAGTAGTATTTATGAAAGTGTCTCGATCGGACACTTACTATTAGTTTGACATGTCTGCAACCTGAACAGTCTTTGATTACGTTATTTTACCGTCAGGTGGCCAGGGGCGGACTGGCCCACAGGGATACCGGGAAATTTCCCGGTGCGCCCCTGATTAAAATGTTCTTTGGCGCCCCTATTTTGGAATTTTGTAGATAATTTATATGTTATTTTGGTAATGGCATTTGTTCACGCCCAGTCTAACAAAGACATATGTTCTCTCACTAATTCGAAAATGGTTAAATGCTCGACGGCGCGATGTTCAAGAAAACATTCGTGTCTTAGAAAGAATAGTATACTATCTGTAATCAAACACCTTACTAAACAATCCTTTTCATTCAGAGGACACCGAAACGAGTCTTCACACACTTTAGATGATAGATCAGTTGATCAGGGCAATTTTTTAGAAACAATCCTTTTGATTTCGGAATTTGATGTACCTTTAAACAGTCATGTACAGGAAGTAATTCATAAAAGTAAGAAAAGACGAGAAAATTTGAAACGAAAAGGCAAGCAGAATAGAAGTCGACGTGGAAATTTAGTAGCAATGCTTTCAAAATCCCAGTTAACAAAATTTTGCTAGCAATTTTAAACATCATCAAATCAAAAATTATTCAAGAGATTAGAGAAAAGAAGCTTTCAGTAGAGATGGGTGGTACACAAGACACCGCCACGGTGGAACAGGATCGGAAACAATAATTTTGCGTTATGTTCTTGGCCTGGAAGTCAATAAATCAAATGTTTATGATGGATCAGCAGCCGTATTTTTCAACTTTTGAAGACAAATGTTGAGCAACAAGGTCTAAAGATGGAAACTATTATCGGTGAATCATTTGATGGAGCATCAAATATGCGTAGGGAGATCGGAGGTGTACAGAAGCTGATCAGAGACGTTTCGCCAAATTCGTTGTACACATGGTGCTACGCTCATGTGCTAAACCTTGCTGCTCCAGATATGGTAGAAAACATAACCGAAGTGAAAATTTGATCAGCTTGCTTCAAAGCACCGTAACGTTTTTTTCTTCAGATTCGTGCAAACGAATGGATGTTTGGAGCAGGATAAAGATTGACGAAGCAGTTGGTTCAGCAAAGCTAAGGAAATTGCAGAAGATTGGTGACACTATATGGTGGCCTAAGCAGGCAGCATTAGAAACAATTTTTTGTCCGTATAACAATAAAAAAAGGAACATATTTTGTCATGCTAAAGGTACCGAATGATAGTGTGAATCTGCCCACATACAATGCAAAGGCATCTATTGAAACCTCGACGTTGCTTGAAAAATGGTTACAATTCAGTAACATTTTAACTGCGTATTTTCTACTTCTTGTGCGTAGTAATTTACGACAAGCATCCGATTACTTGCAAACAAGTGGTTTGGATTACCTTAGTGCTTGGAACATGGTGCAGTCATCAAAAGACGAGATACACAGAATCTCATATGACACCACTGTATGAAGCATCAATTAATTTTACCCAGTCAATGAATGTCAAACTGGCTGAAGACGATCTTGACAACATTAAAGTTGAATCGAAACTAGAAGATTCAAGAGTAATGGAGAGCAAGCATCTGATATGCTAGCCGAGGATCCAATTGTGCGGTTTCGTGCAAACGTTTTCAGACGAGTAGTTGACCAGATTACGACTAGTATTGACCAATGCTTTAGTCAAAACGGTCAACTGATTAAAGATACAGCATATCTTGATCCACGACGTTTTGATGAAATAGTCTTGTCTGGAGTTTCTGAAAACAGCCTTACTAAAGTTGCTAAGATAACTGGCATTGCCACCATGACCAGTACCAATGAGGAGAAGAGCAGTGAAGAGGAGAGCAGTGATAATGAAGACGGTGGTGTCAGCAAGAATCCAATACTAAGAAATCGAAATGCTGCTCGCAAAGGAAACTGTAAAAAGCGTCTTGCTTGCTGTCACAAAATCCTCTTCAAGTACTCACTCATCACTTCAGCTCTAACAAATTTGTTTGTTGTGTACGAACATTTGTTGACATTGTCATTTACGCAAGTTAACTGTGAATGGGCATTTAGCAAGTTGAAACAAATAACGCCCCCTTTCTGAGTTTTCCCGGTGAATTACGTATAGGCCAGTCCGCCCCTGCAGGTGGCTCCCCTGCTCATTTACTTTTAGAATGATTTAAATATTGAGAAAGATATGAAATCCGTCACAACATTCTGTTGATGTAACCAAAGTCTACAAATATGTGAGATCACGCAGGCTCTATTTTAGAAATAATATTAACCTGACACAAACCTAATAATCTGGTCACTTTCCACCCACAGCAAAGTTTGTATTTAGTATCCAATCAAAATGTGAAGTTATGTCGCAGGAGAAGTTTGCAACTAACTGGAGAGCAAATAATTTTGTTAGTAATTTGTTTGTTTCACAATTTTTTAATTAATGAATTGGTACCATGTTTTGAGCGTTTTTGTATAAAAATTGGTATTAAGATTTTGAGCAATGTTTTTCCTTTTTTCTAGATCTTACCCAGGCATTAAGGCATATTAAATAGTATTATCATATGAAGTATAGTGCTTTATAGAGATGGCGTGCACATGAGTGATAAAAGTGATAATCTCACATGAGTGATAAAAGTGATAATCTCACATGGGAGATTATTTATGATAATCTCACAGTCATGTGAAAATTATCACTTTTCAATTATCGCCGCGCTTTTATGTAAAAATTATCATAGGCGTACGAGACGGGGGGAGGGGGCAACTGCCCCCCCCCCCAATTTTGAAAAACCATGGAAATTCGGGCAAATGCTAGGAAAAAGTCAAGAAAATTCAGGCAGATTTATCAGAAAATATGTTAAAAATATCATGTTATTTCATTTCAATTCTCCATAAAAATTTGGGCAAACTTTCAACTCCCCCATCCCGTTCTCCAGTCCCGTTCTCCTATGGAAATGATCGCTTTTCAAAGACTGTCCTTTATATAATAAACAGAAAAATACATGGGTGCTTGGAATTACCAGATTTATTTCTTGTGTGATGTTTCAATACAGACAATGGATTGCAATAATTTGCAAAACAGTTATGTTCTTAGAATTTTATGTTTTTGGGGAGAGGGTGATTGGTTGGGTGCGGGGAGGGGGATGAAACATTTCATCTCCTTTGAAGGGGGTGGTATTAAATATTTTCTGATGCTTTTTTTTTGGGGGGGTGCCAAATTTTATGGTAGAGTTTTGGAATACCCTCCACCCCCCCAGTACACATACTTTATGACCGGTCCCTAATTCCTGTAATATTGCATCGTTATTTGAGTGAAATGTTGCACATGGTACAGAGTGCTTCCAGTCTGACTTAAGTTATACCAATTGCAAATGTCAGGTATACATGGTTGTAATGAAATGATCGGCATACAAACATACAGTGTGTAACCTATACATTACAATACTGTACCAATCTAATTATTCTCACTTGTCTGAGCTGTTGGAATCACTGTTGCTCGGCTGTGCTATTTGGAATGGCCTGCGTGTTAGTGAATATAGTGGGCTTATACACAGGGGGCCTAAACCAGGGGGGGAGAGGAGGGTTATATTCTAAGGCTTACGGTATATTACTATCCAACGTTTCATATATCCTAGCTGAATCATACAATATAAACACGGTTGAACACGGTTCCAGAAAGTACTGACAAGTACACCTTGGCCATCCTTTTCGTGATTGATGTTAGGCTTCATAGCGAAAGTGAGGTACTTTCCAGAAGCATGTATCCTGTATGCAAGAATACACACTACGTGCAAGATTTTAGAAATTTATATCCAGGTTTATAAGGAAGTTAATAATGATTAAATAAGGATTCATAAATACAAATTAATACTAATCAAGCCAAACTAAGAACTTTCCTCTTTTGACGATTGAAGCAAGCTTTAGACAAGAATATTTCGCATCAACTATCATCAAAAAGGAAACAAAACAGACTGCACAAAATATAAAGCTTTGTATACCTTTCGTGTCAGTACTAGAAAGTAGAAACCGAGTAGAAACCAACGGCGGCGCGACCTCTTGGTTAATTGACGGTGTAGATTTCACTTCGACTAATCGACTTTATCTTTTCCAGTCTATTCATCGTCTTGGATAAACATAGTCTTCAAATTTTAACCTTCGACAAGCAAAATAATATATATTTCCACTGAATTTGTTTTGAAAACAAATAATTTTTTGAAATTTTTGAGCCGTCTCGCACGTGTCTCGAACTCGCGGGACCAGTGCGAAACTTTCCTGCGTCCTGATTGGATGATGCCCACGCATGCGCTACGTTTACCCGAGTGTCAAGGTATCGCGCATGCGTTTGGTCACAGGTTTGGTTCAAAGGTTTGGTAAACACCCAGCTAAAGCGTCCCACATGCACCACAAGCCACCTATTCACCCGCCTCTGACGATAGCGTTGAGTTTAGCCGAAATCTAGCTTAAACGTTAACATACGGCGTTCTAGCGGCTAGCACGAGACGGACTTGACCGATACGGGCTAGCAGAGTCGGGAAGTATGGACTGATGAGGCACTTTTCTTCTTAAAAATTTTATTTGTAATTTACCATTCCATATAAAACAGATCTTCTAATTTACCGATCATTTGAATTGCAACTAAAAAAAGTTAGCACTTAGCAGTGTCTTTTGTGCTTTTTATCTAACTTATAAAAATCTAAAAATGTATCTTTACTACTTTTTTATATCATATCAAATTTAAAAACACGATTAAAAACCTAAATTAAACTATAGTTCTAAAGTTTCAGTTTTACGCCGGATACCAGTTATTTCGCCATTTTGTAGGTACCCGTCTACTTTCTGGTCCGTCTTTATTTTAACCAATCAGATCACGATCCAAAAAAGCTCTTAATCTGATTGGCTAATTGAAGTGATCCATTAATCCCACCAAGCTTGGAAGAGTTTTGTGTCACCATCAAGTGTCACAACGAAAGTAGTCAAAGTAACTTAGCCACGGCAAAATAAAATTAACTGCAACGGCAAAAGAAAATTGAAACTCACGGGAAAATAAAGTTAACTCACGGCAAAACGAAATTAACTCAAGGCAAAATAAAAAGTCACGGGTTGCATGAGATCCCGCGCATTCCCGTCATTCTTGTTGCGCTGTGAACCTAGTGTTTATTGAGAGTTGAGAATCAAAGGACATTTACCAAATTTTTAACGTTAAAGTTCAAATTTCAGGCAAAATCCTCAGACTCTCCCCCCCCCCCCTTCCCTAACTTCAGACGCTTTGGTACGTCCCTGTTTGCAGTGCGTGTTTTATGGTTTTATCAGACCTGAAGGTACTCGGCTTCGCCTCGTATCTTTATATCTGATAAAACACTACTGCTCATGTTTTAATTAAGTAGTACATAAAAGGCTGTGGCTTTTTGTATTCATTAAAGATTTTCAGAAAATAATATCGTGCAAGAACACAGAGATTAAAAAAAATTCTATCAGAGATGTACGAGTACAAAAAAATATCGAGCACCAAAAATTCACGCAACCCCCACATCAAAAGTCTAATGGTCCGCCGCAATTTAAAAATGTGTTGGCTACCCCCGTGAACTATATATATAGTTCAGTGGCTACCCCCCGGGTAGCCACTGAACTATATATATTAATAATCTTATTTTTGGCGCGAAAGTTGACAAGACAAATCAAAATGGCGGCCGTGAAAATCGCAATTAAATAATGGACGAACTTATTGAAGGCGAAGATCAGGATGATTTGACGTTAAATAAGTTGGTTGACATTTTGGAAAAAGGTACAATCTGTGGTTAAAATAGTGAACAAATACCGAAAGCTCTGTGTATAGTGATAGTTTGCCATCAAATCGGTGCTTAAAAATGGCTTTGTTATTATATAAATGTAATGTATATACTATATTCGCAGCAATTTGCCTACCAGAAGACGCGGACATATTATTTTCAATGCTTTAACACGCTGGCGGTAAACGTATGTGAAATGTTTAATTTAAACAAATTTTACACATCTACCTATCAAATTGAAAGTTGATTATATAGAGTTGGGATTTAATACCAGTCAATGGCGCAAAAACGCTCATCAAATTTCAACAAGCTCAGAATTGAGTTCGTGAGAGTTGGTGGTCAAATGTGAGGGGGGTGCTGGGTGAGCAGCCAAGAGTTTCTTTATAATTCTTTAGGGGGTGGTGGGACAGCATTCAAATGAATTGGCTTCCTAATGTACAAGTCAATTCCAACTGCCATCATCCCCCCGGGCGAACCCCCTGGAATTTGACTTTTAAAAAAAAATACGGTCAAATTTCCGACGGTGCGAGCGAAACCCATTGTCAAATTCCCAATGGTGCGGGCAAAAACATAGTCAAATGCCCATATCTGCCTCGTACGTTTCCCATATAATTTTACATGAAGAGAACCAGCTAGACTTTAAATGTTTATTTAATTTTATGATCAGCTCAAAACTTTTAGTTTTGCAATTTATATAGTTTTGAAATGGGTCATTCCAGAAAAGATCCATACCCCCCCATGGAGGAAATCGAAAATAACCCCCTCCTCCCCTTTGGATAACCTTGAATGGTTCATCCTCCCCCCTCTCCGGATGTCAAAGCCCAAAATTACCCCCCTCCCCTTCGGACATCCACTATTTCTAAAGTTTTATAAAAGCTAACTAATGCGGGCAGAATTTACGTGTGTTCACACTACGCAGACATTCCAACCACTGGAGGTAAAAATTAGGGAGACTGTTCAGTGAATTGAATTCTGGGAAAAAAGAATAAAAATTAAGTCTTCTGAAATGGCATTTTCTGCATTTTGGGAATATGTTGTTATAAGTGATCCTATAAATTGCCATAAAGCAACTTCAAAAAAGGTCAAGACAGACTAGCTATTATGTTGCTAAAAACAGTATATTTATAATTTTTTATGATATTTCCTGAATATTTTGAAAAATCGGGAGAATTTGATAAAAATCGGGAGACCGGGAGATTGCATGAATTTTCGGGAGACTCCCGGTAAAATCGGGAGAGTTGGAATGTCTGACTACGCCATTACAGTTTGTTTACAAATTAAATTAGCACTCATGTAAACCCAAAATATTTCAAATAGAGCCAAGAAATTTAACTGAAAAGCATTCGAGTTTACATGTTTGTGTTCACATGCTCAAATTGTTACGGCAAAAGTGACGTGAAAGTTTTCAAACGATTTCGCTCCAGCGTAGTGTGAAAGTGATGGCTTATTGTGACTTTTCTATGCTGTTTTCAAATAGCTCCGGCGTGGTGGAACACTTGGCGGCTTCTTGTGAACACAAACAAGTGGCAGGTTTTGTCGGAAAATTTGCAGAAATTCACTTCGAAATTCGGTCAAGTAAAATTCGGACTGAAATTCGATGTAACTTGCGGGGCCCTTGCGACTGATTGACAAGCGTTGCTGTGTTTACTTACATGTCTGACTGCTTACATGTTAATGCCTTTTTTAGTATTACTGCATTCCTTAAAGGGGAAGTCAAGTCCGTTCTGCGCATCGGTTCTGCGCATAACAATGTGAGGACCTCTAATGTGAAAATTGCCCAAATTTCGAATGTTTCGAATTTTTCTGAACATAAACTTTATTTCATATTCATTTAGAAACATAGCGAACCAAAATAGTGTTAGATATTCCGACAGTACATCATAGTTTAAAAAATACAGCAGTTCAAAATGTAAACAAACCGTTTGTTTACATTACGGACTTGACTTCCCCTTTAACCTCGCCCTTAATATGACAGCCATTTCTATTTTAGGCACGCATCTCGCAAGGAAGCTTTATTGACTATATACTAAAACAAATTATTTTGAGTTCAGTTCACATAGCAGTCTCTTAATTCGAGCAACAGTTTAATAACTATTATTTTTAACACTTGAATAATTCAAACTTATATACTGATGTATACGAATGAAAACTGCAAAACTTTACTTTTATATAAATAAAGCGTGTGTCAATTTTCCACTCATTCTCAACATGCAGGATACACTGTTACAGAGAGTTAGTTTTTGGTGGCCATGCATGCAAAAGTGGGCCGCTTATTTTGCTTACGAGTTACATGGACGTATAATTATTGCTGTTACATAAACATTCCGGTTTTTAAGAGCTATGTAGCTGATAAAATTGCGTGCTCATTATAATCGCTGATCACATATCTTTATCACAAGTCTCAAACCTTTGGACAAACTTATATCCGCATTTCCTCTCGCCCCCCTTCGGACATCCTAAGACATTTTTCCTCCCTCCCCTTTCGGACAGCAAAAAGTTCCTCCGTGGGGGGTGGGTGGGGGTATGGATCTTTTCTGGAACGACCCAATGCCGTTTCTTTTTTATGCTCGCTATTGTAAGTTCAATTTCTTTTTATCTATAAAATATCATAAAGCACATAACTTTTGAGACAAATTCTGCAAAAGAACAAGCAATTACAGCCTTTTTGATGTCCCTGGTCGAGTTCCAAACTTTATATAACGGCATTTTATATAACGGCATTTTATATCATGTTCATCAACTTTCATCTACACCAAGCACTTAGCGCGACCGCTGGCCAATTTTGCGCCAGTGATCAGTCAAATGAAAGGGGTCAAATGCCAGACGGTGCGGGAATGTTTTCGCGTCAAATTCCCGCCTATGTAGGATTAACCTCTGGTCAAATCCCGGGGGTTCGCCCGGGGGGATGATCGCAGTTGGAATTGACTCTTGCATAACGACTCAAGTGCCAAAGGCGCAAGCTCTTTTTCAAGGCAAAAATTTTGAAAATTAGAACCCTAGAAATGTCATTTCCTGCGATATGGGCATTGAATTATGAGCTTCAGTTTGACTTCAAAAAAGGAAAAACCTTGGAAATTATGCCATATTTCTGAATTTGATTCCCCCCTTGCACCCCTGTTGACCAAGGCCAGCAGGGTGCGCACCCCTGTGCACCCCCTATAAATCCACCCCTGTGCACCCCCCCTATAAACCCACTCCGGTAGGGTTGACGGCTGATGTTGTCAATACACTCAGTTATTCTCATTTACTCTTAATCTACTTGAGCACATTACTATTAATATCGTCTTTGAAAGTTACTGTACATCCGGTCAGTGGAATGTGTTTTGGCGAAAATATTTAAATATCTTATGAGAGCAAAATTGGTGCTGACTACTTTCATTCATAATATTTACAAACATGGAATGCAGCAATTTTTATAGCATTCTTGATTTCTTATAAAGTCCTTTAGCCAATTTTCAAATAGACAGGTCTTACTGCTATAGATGGGTATGTAAGCGAAAACTACAAATATGTGATTGAGCAATTCTTGATGTTGAGCTCGACGTGTTTTGTGATGAAAGAATCACATTTTAGACCAAAGGGGCATAAATGGTTTTCAGAGACAGGTATATAAGTAAAAAAATAATAATAATGAAAACTTTATTGAAATAAATTTTATCAATATATATACATTTGTAATAATAATAATAATAATAATCTATAATATTAATAATCTATATTCAATTATATTTATATTTTAATGATAAAAAATGTTATAATATAATTATTAACAATTATTGGATGAGACTGAGCAGGATATCCAGAATTATTTAGACCGAGGTCAATGTTATCTGCCGAAGCCGAAGGATGAGGCAGATAACATTGACCAAGGTCAGAATAATTCTGGTATCCTGCGCAAGCCGAATTCAATAATTGTTTTATCATTCATTTTGTGACAGAAAGAAAACAAAACAAGCAACAATTGAAAACAAATAAATATTCATTGAATTGATTAACTTTTCGTAAATTCAACTAAAAATTTCCCGCCAATTTGTATTTTCACATAAAATACCGCTAAAATATCTTGGGCGCCGTCCGCAGATGCTCTGCAGATTACTGTTTCCGCTGGAAATAGCGCAGGCACCTACAAATACCCAAAATTATTTGTAGGCTCTTAGCCAATGAAAAACCGAGAACACAGTACAATGAATAATAATAATAATAATTAACAGTTAAGAATTTATTAATTTAAATATATTATTAATATTTAGAATTATTTAAATTTGTTTCAGCAACAGAATATAATATAGTAGGTTATTCTGATTGCAGTCGTCATCATTTTTTTATACTGTATCTTTGGTGAACTTTTCCTATTACCGAGATCATCCATGATTTCTATTAATGTAGATGTTTAGATATTACCATCTTCAAAACTTACCAGAATTTTTTGAAAATTATTTTGTAACAAACAATCAAATACATCAGCATAATACGAGAAATGCATCAAAACTACATAAGTCCTTTAAAAGAACAAATTATGTAAAATACACTCTTTCTAATAAGGGGATTGATGTGTGGAATGTACTGGAACCTAAATTAAAAGACATAAAAACTTACTATACCTTTAAGAAACAAATTAAACAACATTATATATAAAATTCTTGCAATTGTATTTTGTATCCAATATATTGAATAATTTTAGCCCAATCGTTGTAATAGGTATATATACTAAACAATCTTTATATTGTAACTCTTTGTTTGAACGAACCTTTATAGTTTTTGATATATATATAAATGACTATAGGTATATGATCTAATACTTCAAATTGACTGTAAATATATTAATTAATTTAATTATATGTTAAACTAGGGGCCTAAAGAAAAAGCCCAACAGGGTTTCAAGTAGGTCTCTAGCCCATAATTAATAATAATACAATTATAAGGAAATTACATGTAATAATAGTAGGGGAAATAAATTAAATAAAAAAAACCCCCAAAACAAAAAACATTCGTTTGCAAAGACAACAAGAGAGCTAATAACAACAACAATTTAATTTAATTGCTTTTCCATCATTGTGTGATACTAGCCATAAACACATACGCACCCACACAAACACACACACACACTAAAGTGATGGCTGGGTAACCACAACAGCCTGAAAAGCCAATTACTGTGGGCCCAAAAGATTAAAACACAAACATGTATACAAATATACAATTAAAACGTCTAAAAACAACAGTTCACTGGTTCAGTTAACGTTCTTGCACTGTTGCATTTCGGGCAGATGTTCTTGGATCATCACATTCGTACGTTTTCTCCATTGCGGCAAAATAATATCTTTGCATTACTGACTTAAAAGAGCCCAGGTTTTCCATGCTTAAATCTAACGTGTCCGTTAAAGTGTTCCAAGTTCTGAGTGTTCTAATCCAAAATGATCTTTGGAAAGTCGTTGTTCTGCATTGCGGCACTTCGTACTTCACTGTATTGGTGTTGTTAGACTCTTGTGTTTCTCGTTGTTTTCTTACGTAAAACAAAGGACGAGTTTGTTATGCCGTGGAGTACTTTAAAAAAGTGCACCATATCATATTAACTATGACCATATCAAGGTGCTCATGCCAGTAACATATTGGAAGTAGTTGAAGAGCCTGCAGTCTGGATGTATAGTCAACAGAACAAGTAAATGGCAGGTTAAAAATGAATTTCGTTGCACGCCGTTGAGTTCTTTCTACTTTCGTCAGTAATTCAACCGACTGAGGTGTCCATACTTGGGTCGCGTTGTGTTGTGTATTGTGCGTGTGTTTCTCCTAATGTAACTTAGCTCTTTGTTTGCGCGAGCACACTGTTGGTTCACTTGTTTGTTCCATCTTAAGTCGGTGGATATCCAGACACCAAGGTCACGCTCATTTTTGGTAGATGTCAACTGACAATCTTTCATTGTGTAGCTGGTAGTGATCGGTTTAAGCTTACGAGTAAGTTACTAATGTCGTTCTGTAGTTGTTTTGCATCGTTTTCCGTTCGTATTTTTTTGAAGAGTTTCGTATCATCCGCGAACATTACAACTTGACTTGATTTCACAGTACTCGGCAAATCGTTGACGTATAAGAGAAACAATGCTGGGCCGAGGATAGAACCTTGTGGCACTCCAGATGTTACAGACAGAGGGTTTGACGTAGCTCCTAACACTGTTACGCGCTGTTTGCCGATTTGTCAGATATGAGCGGAACCATCTGAGCAGGTTGCCTCCAAAACCATAGTTGTTACGCAGCTTTTGGATCAGTACATCATGGTTGACCTTATCGAAAACTTTTGACATGTCCATGTAAATCATATCAATATGTCCACCACGATCCAGGCATGACCCAACGTAGTTGAGGGCATCGATCAGGTTAGTCACACAAGATCGTCCGGATATAAACCCATGTTGACAGATGTTGACTGCTTCTAGTAAACGGTATTTGACGTGAGATAATACACAGTAGAAAATAATACACAGTATTATTGAGATAATACACAGTAAAGAAGTAGGACGGTAGTTCTCGGCGTGTTCGTTGTCACCCTTCTTGTGTATCGGTACTATGTTGGCTGTTTTCCACTCGTCTGGTAATGATCCCGAGGAATTTGACTTATTGAAGAGTGTGCACAAAGAAGGTGCAATAACGTCCGCTGTTTCTTTTAATAACTTAGCGGGAATACCATCAGGTCCTGTCGCTTTGGCTGTATCAAGAGATTTCAACATGTGGGATACCTCGACTTCACTAATTGTCAAATCAGTTATAGGATTGGTTCGTCAGCTCCATCCTCGTTAGATTCTTCTCTAGAATATACTGACGCAAAGCATTGATTAAACAAGTTTGCTATGCTTTCTGGGTTATCGGCCGATACTCGTTGAGCTGTTGCTATGCTGCTATCTTACAGCAAGTACAGTAGAAGTAATGTAATAATTGCTGTATGCCTATAAATCATCATACTTATTTGTTGTCAATTGGTATTCTAATTCTAGCCAGTCCAGTTTTTGAACTCAAGCATGGAAACATTCCGATGTTTGGTAAGCCAGCTGTTATTACTAGAACAGAGATCAGACACTGTTTACATGGTTCTGAAAAGGTATATTTCATTCACTTAATATATATCACAACATTTATTACGACACAAGCTCCTGCCTCCATCAGGCCAAGGAAAAAAATACCTGCATGGGTTTCCGGTTTCCTGACTCTACCTAGCTTTTGCCAGTTTTGGACACTGAAATCACCGACCCTAATCTTTTTATCTGAAGTTTGCAAAGAGCTTGGAGTAAATTTTTGTGCCCAGTCCGTGGCATTAGTTTTGTATTAACTGTATAAGTACAATCTGTTTGTTTCAAAGTTGGTATAACATTTAATGAATGTTTGTGCCATCTGTGTTGCCGTAATTGTCGTAGGATATCATTCTCATGCTTTTAAGCATGAGAATGATACTGTACGTCAATTACGGTAACACAGATGGCACAAACATTCATTAAAAAAAATTATAATTTAAAAATAAAAATATTTTTTTACAAAAAAAATTACAAATAAAGAGAAAACCCGACCTACCCTACCTACGTTTTTCCAACACGAAATACTGTAGGAAACCAAGTTATTTGTTTTGGCCTCCGTAACGCCTATTGCACTTTAATTATTTGTTGTTTATCACAGTTAAATCGTATTTGTGCGACCCGTACAGGATTGGAAGCAAAAGCCTGTGAACGACCATAATTATGGGAGAAATCACCGAATAAAGCTGCAAGGAACGCGAAAGCTGAATTGTTCAACCACAATACAAGTACGGCATATCGAAATATTCGACGACTTTGAACTGTCGGGTAATTTTTCCTCCCCCAACAGCATCCGAATGACAGAAGAAAAAAATCTGGAAGGCCTAAAAAAACTAGCATCAAATGAGGCGATAAACACATCCTCGCTGCACTACAGTACATCAAACTACCTCTGGGCAAAGAGCATTCTGGGCATCTCGTTGGTGAAGGAAAATGCGTCTGTAAACCAGATAATCGACAAAAGAATAGTGCAACGAATTTACTAACTCGCCAAGAAAAATGTCACTAGGGTTAAAGAAGTGAAACGCTGTCTTGAAGGATTCGTGGTGAAGGAATTATCTTCAAAATCACATTGTAAGAGCTGTTGCGACTTGGAAGTACTGCAATAACGATGACCAAGAGTCCCTTCTTCGAAAAACGATCAACGATGAGTTGGAAACAATCATCGCCAACTACCAAATTCTTCCTCCGAACCCAAGAAGGCGACCCGAACTACTTTGGTGACACCGTACCTACGAGCGATAATTTCCTTTTTGTTCATCAGGAAGCATGGCAAGGAAAGCTTTTGCTCAGATATGGAAGTGACCTCTCCCTACTTGACGCGACGTACAAAACAACAAAATATGCCATGCCGTTATTCTTCCTATGTGTAAATGCACCAACGACTAACGTTGGCTATAAGGTGGTTGCTGAATTTATGTGTCAACACGAGGATAAAATTTCTGTATCCAAAGCCTTGGGGATCTTGCGAGGATGGAACCCGGACTGGAGTCCAAAATACTTCATGGTGGATTTTTTCAGCGGCTGAAATAGGGGCGATTGAAACATACTTTCCTGGCGTTGTTGCATATATATCTGATTTCCACCGTCAGCAAGCAATCCAGCGTTGGGCCATGGCCGGTAAAAACGGCCTAGATCAGAGCGAGCAGGAGTTCTTCCAGTCAGCTACATGTATGACAGGAGTTGGTAGTGCTTCAACAGAAACGCAGTACAACGATTTTATATTATCCAAGCTTCGCCAATCAGCACTCTACAAAACAAAAGAAAACGCGAGAAGCTATGTGGAAACAACGCGGACCCCTTGTTAGTTTCGCTGGTGTCGTACAGTCCGAAAATCGCAAGCATCAATAAACATCGTGAACACGAATAATGGAGTTGAATCTTTGAACAGACTATTTAAGTACAACTACTTACCCACATCTATCGACAAATCACTTAATTGTTGTCATGATTGTAACTTCCTTTTTGTCGGATCATACCAAACCTACCTAATAATGAGTATATAAGTGTTCCAGACTACCTACAAAAGCGTCCACCTAACTTCGTTAAACAATGCATCAAAAATAAAGTTGCTGCCGAAGAGATTTAGGAAAATGACATTACTTGTTTAAACAATCACCAAAGGAAATTTCAAGTCAAAAGTTCCAGAAACAAGAAACTAAGTTACCTGGTCCAATTTTTAGTTCGGAGCTACACATCCTGCACACAATTTTATAATGTATAAAACGGTTTGGTAGCAGAAACAGTCCAGGTCCTGAATAAGATGGATGGGGGCACATTGCATGTTAAAACGTAGATCTTTTTGTAAATCTGGGCGTGCCATGTATGGTATTTAACTGATGAAGATCGTCAACAAAGGAAAGTGAAAAAATGCCCTCAAATTACATATTCACAGACTCTTTCTCATTTATTAAGCATGCATCTACAGTAATTTTTGTACGGCTTTGCCAGCTTAAGTTAGGGGACTCCACCGGAAGTTCTTTTGATAGTATCTTACATGTAGTATTATGAAAAATAACTATGAACGTCATGTAGTAACGATGAAACGTAAGAAAAAATGTAAACTATACTTAAGGTGGCAAAGTCGTATAGAAATGACTGTAGGGCTTTAAACCGGGGCCTGGGGCATTTCACCGAGTGTAATGTTTGTTTTGCAAAACTCCAGTAGCAGGGGGGGAGGACGTATGAATATGGTAACACTTTAGCTATCATGATGCTGCAATATTATTTAACAATATAAAAGTTCAACATTACCTGACCAAACTATTTATACTGCAGCTTCCCACATCATGCCATCATTGCCATGTGACATTAAATGTAAAGTTATAAATTTGACACTCATGTTAATATTAAGGTTGCAGGACACCCTTTTTGGCGTTTTGCGGAAAATCGCTACTGCGCGCTCAAATTCAGTCCGATTTTCATCAAATTTTTACCAAATGTTCGCCAGTGCATGCAAAATATGGTAAAGTTATAAAATTAACAAACAATAAAATCTCGAATAAAATAATGTAAGAATTATTCAGGAAAATCGTAAATCGCGGTACCGTTACGCTTTTGAGTTGTGCTCCTGCTGGTTTTAAGTTATATTTATGAAAATATCATTTTTAAACAGTAAAATAGTTGTTCTAAAAAATTGTGTTCGGAATTTTCTGTTTATTTCGTCATTCCGCTGATATGGCGATTTCTTTGACGACTGCAATATATTTCTGAATTGTTTGAGTGAATTGCTCTTTATTATTAAAATATCCAAAATTAGGACAAAGCCGAACACTATTTTGAAACTGACGTCTTTAGCTATGTCCTGTGAAAATTTGAGAGAAATTCGTTAAAACCCGCAGGAGCACAACTCGTTTGAAAATCAGTAATTGCCGTAAAATTCTTCGGGAGAAAATTGAATTTGAATATTACATTTTCAATGTTTTCTTATTGCAGCGAAATGTATTTTATTAAATAACTCTGCGAGTTTTCAACATTTTTCGTTCAAACTTGGTCAGGTAGTAGAACTAGTCTAATGCTTTCATAGAGACCAATACAAAAATTTTAGGCAAAATTAACACTCAAAGGTGTTCTGTAACCTTAAATATACCAAATCTCAACTGTGTGTTCTTCATTTTAAATCCAAATGAACAGAGGTAAAAAAAGCTTGAAGCCTGAAGAAGAGTTCAGCTCGGGAATGAAGACCTTTAAAATTATTCTCGAACAAATCTCGATGTATTGTGTATTTCACGATTCAAACGATATCGACTTATGGTAATACATGTTACGATGTTACGATGAGATTACGAGTAAATGAGAACAACCGGATGCCGAGTGTATTGACGTCACCCACAACGAACGCCCTTGAGGTGGTCAATTCCCACTTCGCCTGGAAAGTGAGAATGACAAAAAATGTGTCACGCGACTTTACACTGTAATGTATTCTATTTAAGCTAAATAATAATTAGAACACTCATCTAACCTTCTATTTTGTCACCTGTAAGGCTGTAACAATGTGTGACTGCCAACTCTCTTCAACTCTTGTCAACTTTTATCCTCGTTTCACCGGGGATGTTTAATGGACCTATTCCCTAATGAACAAAATTTTGATCTAGACAAGTCTAGACAAATATTTCACCACAGCTTGAAAGAGCATCACAAAATTAGTAATATTCTGAAGTTTCGTTGCGAAATGTTGTAAAATGCGGATAATATATAGCCCAGTGAAGTTTGCCGTTTTTCAGTCATTTTGTATTACGCACGGGAAATTGATACCGCTTTCTGAAAAAAGGTATCAATTTCCCGTGCGTAATACAAAATGACTGAAAAACGGCAAACTTCGCAGGGCTATATTATCCGCATTTTACAACATTTCGCAACGAAACTTTTTGTCTAGACTTGCCTAGATCAAAATTTTGTTCATTAGGGAATAGGTCCATTAAACTACGCGGTTGTGGTCTGCACCATTCGGTTGGGTGATTGAAAGCTCGTATGTATATAGTGCTACGTGCTTTAAAATTACAATACCTATACTGTTGGGCAATGTTAATCCCACCATAGTTTTATAATTTTTGGAGGGTTTGAATCCATTCATACTTCGTTTAGTGTTCATTCACTCAGATAATAAAATGATTTGCCTTTCAATAGTCCGGATATTCGGTAAGCCCCAGTGCTCGGCAGCATTTTCACTTTTAGTTTAAGTATTCAACAATTATCAGGCTTTCTTCATGCCATCCAACTTTTCTTCTACTTTCCAGCTTTTCATGTGTTTTTTTTTTAAATATTGCTTGATTTTCCTACGATTTTTTTCATATTCGACGTTATGACGTCACCCTATGAATATCTGGAGAGCTATATATTGAGTAGTTCGCTAGCAGCCCGAAATTTTGTTCAAAGGAAAACCTTAATTTTCCGTTTCAAATTTTCGGGTGGGGGCTGCGAGCAGGCTATATGTTGAGTCAATATGACTATTTCATACTTGACCCTTTGCCAATCAGAAACCATGTTTCTAAATTAATAATAATTTGGATAATCCTTCTTTGAAATAGAGGTTTGATTGTGGTTTAAATGTTTCATAGAAGATGCAGTACGGAAGAAACCTCCAGTCCGGGGTGATGGTAGTTCGGTGTTGGTAATTTTGAAAGATAAAGCAAATGAAGAAGGCTTAACTGAAGAACAAGTCACTCGACTTGTCCAAGTTGGCACAAGCAAAAAGTTTAGTAAGTACAATTTTGTTTCCAATCTTGGTGCACGAAGTATTGATGTGACGTAAACGCAAGCCCGGAACTTGCAGTGACGTAAACGCAAGCCTGGAATTTCCCTCAAACCTCGCCACGGCAATGCCAATGGCATAAAAAATACGTTAGAGCCACAGTGATAGGGTGCTGCGGCTCTCCACGGCAAATATATAAACAATCTACAACAGTTCTACAACTCTCAATCACGATCTCATCAAATCAAATCTTAAGTCAATCTCCAGTCATTCTCAATTCATTATTATTATTATTTTCTAAAATTTCACATTAAGTAGTTAAACACTAAATTATAATGCGAATTACAGTTAAAAATGAGAATATATATCCTATACACTACTCTATTTACAGGAATACTCTTATTTCAATCTAAAAACTATTAATTTAAAAACTAACTACTATTAACTATTAAGAATTATTTTAGCTATTATATTGTTCGACTCCATAGACAATTGCACTGGTTTTAAAACGCTCAGTCCGACAGTAAAAATTATAAATAAATTATAAGTTAAAGTTTAAATTTAAACCTAATAAAATTCTGCCAACATGTACAATTTACAACCTTTTATATAATAAGTTAGGCACCTCCTCTAAACCTACGGCGTTGACGCACGCAATCAAAAGTTTCCGCGCTTGGCTGCCAAGGAGACGCGCGCTACAGTATTAAATTAACTAAATTGTGCACACAACCATCTAGTACATGCATACTTCTATATTATAAAAAAATTTAACTATTTTGCGCTTTTATTCAGCGTGACTTCCGCGACAGTCGCTATCCTAATTATCTATACGGCATTTTGTTCTCGAACAACGGCAATTGCCGCGATATAATTCCAGCCCTGCTTAAAGGGAAGTTCTTTGTTTGCAATGGACTATTTGCATTATAGACTAAATTTTGATCTAGACAAAAATTTCATCACAGCTTGAAAGAGCATCACAAAATTAGTAATATGCCAAAGTTTCGTTGCGAAATGTTGTAAAATGCGAATAATATAGCCATGCGAAGTTTGCCGTTTTTCAATCATTTTGTATTACAAACGGGAAATTGACAGCCCAATCGGGTGTTAGGGCATCAATTTCCCGTTTGTAATACAAAATGACTGAAAATTGCAAATTTCGCAAGGCTATATTATCCGCATTTTACAACATTTCGCAACGAAACTGTGGGATATTACTAATTTTGTGATGCTCTTTCAAGCTGTGACGAAATTTTTGTCTAGATCAAAATTTAGTCTATAATGCAAACGGTCCATTACGCAAATTTGGGATTTCAGTTGACGGGCAGGTATAACAAAAAACGGCTATTTTAATGTATTGATCGAGTTTAGAGACAGTTTAAGACTCAAAAGATGATTACCGCTCAGTTTTTCTTGCTACAACCATTCTGATAGGAGAATAACCGTCCACAACTTGTATGATTGCCCGTCGTTTGGATGAAAAATCACGTGCTTGCAAACAAAGAATAGCAATAAAAATTAAGTTTCTCCTATTTAGAACTGTGATTCAACCTATTTACAGATTTTCTTTATCGTTCTTGGTATAAAATATATTACACTTCATTTCAAACAAAATCATTATACATTCCGCCATCTTGGATAGGCATATCCATCATTGGATATGCATGACGTCACAACCAGGGTAGCATTATTTTGTATCCGCTGAGCAGTTCTCAGGCCATTTTACCGATAAATCCTATTTTTGCTGTTGCGTATTCTAAATTAAAGTACAAGTTATGTATAAGCTTTCCAGTAGTTTACACTGATATTAATTTTAGTTTCAAAATTTCTACCCTGGTTGTGACGTTATTTAATTAGATCTCATTATAAAATAAGATGGTGGATGGCAGGATCAGATGTTTTGGTTTCAAACATCTCAAAAATGTAGATTTAGTTTTAGAGAATTGGTAAAAAGTTGTTGTTGTTGTTTTGTTGCCATTTTCATTTAAATGCTATCCATGCCAACCATGTTGCCCAATACTCCGGTGCCTTTCCAGTTTCCAAGAAAGAATGGCTTCATAATGACGTTGTCGATATTTCATTCTAGCTGATGCAGTTGTGAATCAGATTATCAAATGTTTAATTCCAAGAGACGATGTTACAGCAGATTGTGTTGTCGATCTTATTTCAAAGATGTGCGCTAATAAGATCAATGTTAACATTCAGGTAATCACCTACCAAATATACGGTGTTTTAGGGTGTCCACGTGCCTTGTAAATCCGGGAAAGTTCTGGAATATGAAAAATTAAATCCAGGCCTTGGCAATTATGTTCCCAACACCATGCCTGAAGATTTTATTTTTGTGGAGCCAATCTTCGAATAGAGCAATTAAGGCTATGCCAGTGCAGCCAGGTGCAGGGTTAGACAAGTTTAACCAATAACTCTAGGTTAAGATAGCAAGGCCCGTCGCCTTGACATGAGTTTTGGAGTTAGCCTGTAACTCCAAAATTCATAAGTAAAAAAGTGCATATTTCAGTTGAATTCGGAGCCAGCTCCTTAGACTATCGAGGTAGCGTCACTCCATGGCGCTCCCTAACCTGTGCAGCCATGCCAAGCACTCACCTGGGCAGAACCCTATAATCCAAATAATACTACTGTATATCGTAGGTGTCATTTCTGAAATGGCTTATTATGGTTTATGAATGGATCAATGACAAGGAGAAAGTTCATTGTTTATATGGCATGATATTTCTCTTCTTGGACAATGATGCTCTGGTGAGTATTTGTAATCAATAGTGCTTGAAAAACAGAAACTATCACTGGGGTAATGCAGTTGGCAGTGGCGGTACAATAAGTACAGTAAGTCCCACCCCAAAGTTACTTACCTGTACGTCCGTGTCAGTCCCTCGATAGAATTCTAGGGCTACACCCAAGTCCCTGGTTTTCCAGGTTTTTAGAAATAATCCAGTTACAATCTGTACAATCATGTAATTTATAAATTTCTATCTAGTGTCCTTACATATGTCATCTTCTGTACTCCATGACACGAAAAGAAGATGGTGAGTTGTGAATCGTCTTTTTCAGAAATATATAATCTTGACTGTTGTAATTTGATTCTGGGGGTTGAAATTTAGACTTCCAACTAGTTACCATGTATGCTGGGAATAAGATCAGGTCACAAAATTTGATATCAGATCGCCCTATCACTGGAAAAAATAGTGAAATTCATACTACGGAATTTGCGATTGCATCACTAAACCATGGTATATCCATACTATTTCCATACTATATCCATACTATGGAAATTGCAATTACCTGTAGTATTAAAATTGGATTTCCATACTATTTTCAACTAACTTCCACACTATTTCCATAGTAAAATGTATATGAAGACTTATTGATCAATAAATTGAGCTACGTACAGTATGCATTCGTGAATTACGTAATAATTATATCAGATATAAGACAAATTGTGAAACTGTCAGACTCTGTGTTCTAATATAATCTCACTCGCCACGATGTCTGTCAGACTCTGTTTTCTAATATAATCTCACTCGCCACGATGGCTACCTTTGCCAAATATCTGATCCCCAGGTAATAAATTTGGTCGCAACTGGCAATCTGGCGCCTTGTTATTTCAACCCTGGATTTGATTACTTATATTCAGTGATAAACTTATTCATAGTCTAGACTGAATATTCTGCTAATATATGTTCTGTGTAGGAATGGGATTCGAATTCATTCCTGGGACTGAGCGATTTTAAATATATACATGAATGCATGCATGCTCCAATTATCTTTCATGGGCAAAATTTGTATGAAAATTACTCCTGACATTCTGAAGTTTGATTTTTTTCTTCACCCAGTGAAACCTTTCAGGTTAAGGAAGTTATTGGATCTTTTGGGGAAAGTGGTAAGTACTATTTTATAGATGAACTATGTCTATATTTATTATACATTGTGGTCACTACGTGTCTTCTGCAGATAAATACAGAAATCACGAACAGTGTTATCTGTAGGTTGAGCCAAAGCAAACTTTTTGACATTTATATTCTATTTCTATTTTTACATGCAGGGCCAACAAGCGCATTTGATAGGTCTTTTGTCTTTGTATAAAGTTCACGCGCCTCACGTGGTCTCGGTCAATATTCCGAAAATTAAAAAGGTACAGTAAACATGTATGTCAATATGATAGGTATAGAATCTATGCAATCTATTTATTCATGAATATTTATAGTCACCAGGATATAAAACACTTCAGCAAAAAAGTACTGCTTGAAAAGGAAGAGAAGAGACTGGGGAGCCGTGACGAGCAGACGTGTGCTTTTCTGCTCCGCTGTATTTGTATTATTTGTATTCGTTTGATAAGAAATATGCCACCAAAAAAGAGAAATATTGCTACTGAGAAGACTGCTTCAAGAATTGAAGACAAATCTGATGTTATTGCAGAAGATTCCCATACAAGTGATCAAAATGATGAAGTACGAAGTGATCTTGAATCGTTTCTTGATAGACGCCTACAACAACAGACTAAATCAATTAACGAAATGTTCGAAAAGTTTACAACTTCTACTAAATCGGACTTGGATGATATTAAAGCCAGTCAAGAATTCATTAGCTCTAAGTTTGATGAGCTAGCTAATTCAGTTGATATCTTGAAGGCTGAAAATCATGAGTTACGTTCACAAAACGAGTCGTTTAAGAAGAGAATTGATAACCTTGAGGGTTATGTTACAACACTTGACGTCGATTTGGAAAGCCTCAGAGAATATACTCGAAGAGATATGCTTGAAATACATGGAGTCCCAATTTCGACTGGGGAAAATACAAACGAAATTATTATTGCAATTGGACAATTGTTAGGTGTGAACATTAAAGAGTCGGATATTTCTATAAGTCACCGACTATCGGCAAGAGAAGGGTTCATTGCTCCAATAATTGTCAAGTTCTCAAGACGAGATATTCGTAATGCGATGCTGAGTAAAAAAAGCAATCTACGGAATAAATCCTCGCTTGATTTGGGTTTGAATGAAGAAGTCAAAATTTATTTAAATGAAAGCCTGACACAAAGGGGTAGGTCACTGCTCCGAGCAGTGAGAGCATTCAAGCGAGACTTTAACTTTAAATTTGTTTGGACAGCTAATGGAAAGGTATTTTTAAGGAAAAATAATAGCCAGGAATCTAGAGTTTATTCATTTTCCTCAATTAAAGAATTTGACGAATTTAAACTGGACACTAGGAATTAGTATTTACCTACACCAGTTATGTGACTTCTGTTGTGTGTCAAATAATTAGTTAACTTCGATTCTTACTGCCGTGTATTACCCTTTTATAGTCTTAATGATGAAGAATTTGATCATATGATTTATGAATTACAGAATGGCCCTGTTAGTTACGATGAAAACAGACTTTCAAATTTGATTTTTAATCCGTTAAATACTTCGTTTAATAAGACTATTGATCAGTTTACAATCGGTAGTGGTTTGGATCCAGATTGCAATTACTATTCAGGCGCTCACAACTGTGATTACTATACTGAGGATGGGTTTAATGCAAAATTGCGTTCTCAAGGTATTTCTAATAGTTTATCGTTCTTACACCTAAATATTAGGAGTTTGCAACGAAATTTTGATAATTTTTCAAATCTTTTGTTAAAAATTAATATTAATTTTACTTTTATTGGACTTTCTGAAACTTGGCTTAAAGACTCAGAAACTTTAATGGATATACCTGGTTATAGATTTATTCATAACCCCCGTCATAATAGAACAGGTGGTGGTGTCGGATTATATTTTTCTGATCATTTGAATTTCAAATTGCGAAATGATTTATGTTACGATGATATTGAATGTGCCGAATCATTGTTTATCGAAGTTTTAAAACCCAGGGGAAAAAACATTGTTATAGGTGTTGTTTATCGTCCCCCGGCTAGTGATGTTAATGCTTTCGTTCAAAATACCGATACTTTAATCACTAAAATTGCTAGAGAAAATAAAATTTGTTACCTAATGGGTGATTTTAATATTAATTTATTGAACTATAAAAATCATGAATTAACTAATGAGTTCCTAGATATTATGTACTCTAATATGTTTTTTCCTTTAATAACACGACCCACTAGAATTACTTCATTTAATGCCACATTAATTGATAACATATTTACTAACGACCTGGATAATTGCTTGTTTAGTGGCTTGATTTTCACTGATATATCCGATCATCTACCTGTTTTTAGTTTATTGTATATTCAAGACGAGTTTAACAAAGCGAATGAAAATTCATATGCGGTTTACCGGGAATATAATAACGAAAATTTGCAAAAACTTCGTATTGAATTAGCAAATGTTAACTGGATGACATTCTGTGGATCTACCGACCCAAACAATTCTTACAATGAATTTTTACGTGAATATTCTCGGGTGTTTAATTCATGTTTCCCTTTGAAAAAAAAGACCAAAAAAGTAGATCAACTTTGTAAGTCGTGGATGACCAAAGGACTTTTAAAGTCGATAAAAAAGAAAAATAATCTTTATAGGAAATATTTACGGAAACCTACGTGCGAAAATAATACGATATACAAAAATTACAAAAATAAACTCAACCACTCTATTCGGATAGCTAAACGTTTATATTTTGAAAATAAATTAAGAAATTCCACCTCGAACATCAAACAAACGTGGCAGATACTTAATGAGGTGACAAATAGAAAGAAATCTCGAAATAACTTTCCTTCTATGTTTTCTTGTGATAATCAAGATTTTTCTGATCCAACCGCTATTGCTAATCGCTTCTGCGAATATTTCACTAATATTGGATTTAATTTGGCTAAAGAAATACCTAATTCCTCACGGACTGCCTGTTCTTATCTCAATGGAAATTTTTTAAATTCCCTATTTTTGAATTTGGAAAGAAAGGAAATTGTTGAAATAGTAAATTCATTTCGTTCTGGTGCAGCTCCAGGCTATGATAACATTCCTATCAAGATAGTTAAGAATTCTATTGATCTCATTTCAGAACCATTGTGCGAACTTATGAATTCGTCTATTATAAGTGGTATTGTCCCAGACGAAATGAAAATTGCTCGGATAGTTCCGATATTTAAGACTGGTGATAATTTTTTGTTTTCCAATTATAGACCCGTTTCGGTCTTACCAGTCTTTTCTAAGGTAATGGAAAAAGTCGTCTACAATAGATTATTAAAGTATATTAATGATAATAATATTTTATTTAAAAACCAATATGGATTTAGGAAAAATTACTCAACTTCGCACGCACTTATAAATCTTTATGATAAAATCTCATCCGGTATTGATGCTAATAAGCACAATATTGGTATTTTTCTTGACTTATCTAAAGCTTTTGACACAGTTGATCATGAAATATTAATTTCCAAACTTGAGCATTATGGCATACGAGGCGTGGTCCTTGAGTGGTTCCGAAGTTACTTATCCCATAGGTTACAATATGTAGAATATAATGGTGTTTCCTCCTTGTATAAAGAAGTACGATGTGGGGTACCTCAAGGATCAATTCTTGGCCCTCTGTTGTTTCTTATTTATATTAATGATATTAGTGAAGTTACTGAGCATGGTGATTTTCTTCTTTTTGCCGATGATACTAATTTGTTTTATTCTCATGATAATAT